GGGGGGGGGGGTATTGCACTACGTACTCTCAAAGTTATCTTGTTCTGTTCAGCCTTTGAAAGTCATGTCTACTCAAGCCTCTGTTAGCCTATGGAAAAACAATCAAAGCATTTTTAAGTGTCAAGATTTGTTGTATTTTTTACTGAAAAGTACTGTGAAGAATATTTATACTCAAAGGAATATAAACTTTCTTTTATGCTTTTTTATGTTTTATGCTGCTATGTGAATGTATCTTTTCAAAGTCAGCATCTGAACGGGCCCAACCAAGTAGCACACAAGTGGATAGTCATCTAACAGTTCACCATGCTCGACAAAGACCAACTCTCTCAGATGCGATGAGTTTACTTCAAATGCTCTGAAACGCTCTCTGTACCAGCAGCATAACTTCTTACAAATGAAACTCAACTTGTCTTGAAAAATGCAAATTTGAATTATTTCCACAAATTCAGGGAGGCCAGCAAGTGATCCATGAGCAAGTATCATTCCTGTTTTGTAACTTATTCCATATGCATTTACAGACTTGGCTAGACTGACTTCCGTTACATCTGGGTATCTCTGTTTGATAGTGCAAGCTATTTCCTTGTTCAGCACTTCAACTGGAACTGGTGAAACGCTTGTGACTTCAAATGATGCCCTCTTAAGGCCAGACGAATGCAAATGAAAAGCAAGCATTAGCTGGTGCTTTGTAGACAGCGTAAGAGCTATATTTTTAAAACAGTTAGTGTGACGAGCAATCTGTTTAAAAAAACTATGCTTCGCTTCAAATCTCATTGTCCACATACATACAAGTGGCCCAAAGCACTGTATCATATGTGGATAGTGCTCCAAAAAGTGCTGTTTTGGCAGCAGGTTAGTAGTTGGAAAAAGCTCTTGGTAACGATTTCTGTGTTCACAAATCTTAAACTCAAGGAATGCTACAGACTCATCAGAATGCACTGGAGCTACCACAAGCTCAACAATGTCTTTTAAGTCCAAAATCAACAACCAAACAGGTTCATCCTCTGGCACTAGGGAACCAATCATAAATGGCAACAACCTCAACAAATTCCAATTTTCATGGGCATTGCCACCTATGGATTTCTTGGTTGAAAGTGTGTGTGGTATGACATGAGGCTTATTTGTTTTGTCACCCCACTTGTACGGAAACTTCAGAATCAACTGGTTCAGAAAATCCAGTGAAAAATATTTCTTTGAAATCAATACAGAGAGGCAACAAGCCAGCTCTACTGGCACTACACCTTCAAAGATATCGTGCACGATATCAGGAGGATAGCCTTTTAAGACTTGGAAATGTGAAAGGTGCTTGGTTAGGACACAAGACCTCTTTACCCCAAAGCAATGACTATAGGTTTCTTCTGCACACTTCACATGTTCTTCATGATCATCTTTTGTGCGAAGCCTGAAAGCCCCAGATGAAACACTATGGGTTTGAATCTCATGTTTCTGTGCTGTACAAAATCTGCATATGAAGTTTCCTGAAAAACTTTCGACAAACCCACCTAATCCATGTGCAGCTAGATTGTCAGCCACAACACACTGCACTGTGCCCTTTACACACTCACCAATATGAGATATATATACACCTTGTTCCTCTAAAATATGGAGATCATGCAGAAGGGGTTCAAGCACTTTTTCAAATCCAAATGTCTTGACATCATCTGTTTTGCAAAGTACTGCCAAGTATATTGAATAAAGTGCTGAATGAGAGCCAGGGGGGAGATTATTTAAGATCCAGTACACTCCACAGAGTTTGTGCTTTTTGCGGGAGGTTCCAAGTGGGTTACAAATTTCGAAGTCATCTATATACAGATTTAAAGAGATTCTCAACTCCTCTTTAGACCAAAAATCGCTCTGACTGTAGAACAGTCCATCTTGAAAAGACTTGAACAGATGACCATCAGAAGCACAACTTGCTACAGAGGTCTTCTCCTGTGCAATTTTACTCCCAATCACCTGATCCAAAAAGTGCTCCTTGCTCAGTAACTGCTGTAAAGATTGTAAAATTGGAATATATTGAAATGTTCTGTTCTTATTAGAGTCTAAAATGTATTCGACTGGTTCAATGACATTGAAATTTTCTTTGTAGAACTTTTTTCTTTTGAAGGCTGTTGCTAAAGGGCCATCCTTTCCAAAACACTGTCCTACTGGGTTGGATACACACACAGCACAAGCAAGTTCTTTTATCACAGCCTCATCAACTGACAGATTATGATTTCTAAAAACATCCAAGATGGTTGCTTGTACAATTGGTACAGAAGCAGATTTCAGCAAAAAGTGTAGTTCATCCACCAATTCATCTACTGCTGCAGTAGGTACATGCAGTATGTTTTCTAACTTCAACAGGAGACACCCTACTTTTTCCTTAATTACTGTTGTCAGGCTCGCAACAGAAACTATATCACTGTCATCATCTGACTGAGTGTCTACATCAGCTTCAGGTTCATCAGTGGAGCATGATGGCCTGTTTTCATCAGCACTCTCCAAAGATGTATCTGTTGTACTATGTAAAGTCACAACACCTGGTTTAAAGTCGTTTAAACCATGTGATTTGTGTTTTCTATTTTTGTGAGAATAGTACGTACCATAAATGTTGGTCTCAAAACTACAGCCTAGAAATGCACAACTACAAGTCTGACCATTTTTAAGGTGTGTCCCTATGTGAACAAAATAATCTTTCTCTGAAGAAAGCTCAGCACAATCACACAACTGACAACTGAATGTCACTAATTGTGTTGATGTCTGTGGTGGTAACGCATGGGCACGGTATACATGATTTCTAAGGCTATTCCATGTTCGGAAAGTGCATGGGCATGTCGCATAAGAACATGGATAGCGTTGATTTCTGCCATAATGACCATGGCATAACTTATAATGTTTCAACAATTTGTACCTGCTAGTCTCTGACACTCCACACTCTTTGCAAGGCCACATTCAGATAACTAGAAGAAAAACAAGCACAAAAATCAATTACAAAAACCGTAAAACCACAGATAATCATCATGTAAAATCAGATTTCGGTCAAACTATTGTCCATTTTTATACTGGCTTCCAAAACATGTATGTCCAAGCACCCATTAATATCACTTTCCTCTATTTCATGGCAATAATAAATGGTTTTAGAAAAAGATCCATTAGTTTAAGAACATTAATTAATAATACTTACCCAATGGAAAAAGCAGAAAGCCAAGCATGGCAGGTTATTATGCTCTTGTAAAACCTGTGAAATGAAAAATAAAATTAATTAGCATGAGATAAACTTAAATTAATAATTGTGTAACTTTTTTTAATAGATATGGATGGTTTAGTGCTAAAACTAAACCTTTTTTCCTGTAGCCGTGTACTTTATAACTGAAATAAATGCAAAAACAGCAAGTGCTGACAGCATACGTTTCAATTGTCTCCGTAGCTGTCGTCTAAAAACAACATCCGTAACAATAATACAGTAGCGTAACAGTGATGTACAGTAGTAAATCGTACAGACAACAGAGTATTAGATTTAAAACATAAATGTTATGTTTAAGATCATAACTATTAACTTTAATATGTAACATGAATCTGTGCAAAATGAAAACGCTTTCATTCAGTCTTGACCTGCGACGAATGACAGAGCGTGCATGCACAATACACACCGCCTCATACTGCACTCGTGTTATGTTACATCACGCTTAAATTTGTATGCGAAGTGATGTAACTGAAAATCGTTTTTACTTGAATTTGCAGTGTTCTCATCTCTACCTGTCCGGAGAGATCACCTTGCTAACAGCATGCTCCCAACACTCGCCCGAATGAAATTGCTAATTTTGAATATAACTGAAACAATCTAGTGAAATACCCCTTACAACAAGTGTCAGAGCTAAGCAACTACTGCGTTAATGTCAAAATACGTACATGAATGCAGGCATTTATATAAACTTGCTATTTTTCATCGCGTATACATGTGACTGACAGTCTGTTCTAAATATAAAAAAAAAAACATAAAATATCCGCTACATGCAATACTAGGATTGTTTTAAACCGTTTTAATCACTATTATTAGCACTATATAGACAAGGATGATAAAAGATTTTTAGACTTACCGATTTCACAGAACTCCACCACGTTAATGGCGTCGGCGGCAATTGACGAGGTCACGTGGAATTCCTGTCTTCGGCGCATGCGCAAAATAAGTTGTTGACTCAACTCAATTCATATTTGTAGTTTCAGCAGAAATTAATAGAGCTCTTTTAATTTCTCCTGGATTTAGTTTAGACTGATTTGAAATAACTGTGTACATACCTTCAACTGATTCGTTTTATTTGTTTTAACATACTCTATTTATTTTAATCAAACAACACCCAGATTTCATTTGTTTGAGTGTACTGTCCATGACCTTACCGATTTCTGGAATCTAGCTGTTGCGTTGCCTAAATATTGGAGATCATATTTGACCATGTTTCCATACAGTTTCAGATTCAGGTCTATATTCTGGTTAAGCCTTTTTGTCAAAAGGTGCTTACATGTTGTACAGCTATTGGAAAATTCGCATTCATTACTGGAGCTGCTCACTTTTGCCATTGATTTTAATTCATTTTAGTAATTATGCTCAATTATTTAGAAATCTCATTGATTCTCATTCATGTCCTTGACAGTTTTAGATTCAGGTCTATATTCTGGTTAAGCCTTTTTTTTGTAAAATGGTGCTTACATGCTGTACAGCTATGAATATAGCTTTTTTGGAACATAATACATGTAATCAGCAAATACTAAAAAATGTAGAAAATTCACATTCATTACTAGAGATGCTCACTTTTGCCATTTATTTTAATTAATTTGAGTAATTCTGTTTAATTATTTAGAAATCTCATTGATTCTCATTCATGTCCTTGACATTAGCTGTTAAATGCAAAGTGTAGGTTTAATGATGTATGTTCACAGCATTTGAATGTTTATAAAAAAGAATCATTATTTTTTTTTCACCCCCC